CGGGCCGGGTGTGGCTGTCTCCTTGTCTCATCTCGACGGAGCCGGTGAGATGCGACCTCCCTCGCTGCTTTCTTTCTCCCACCTTCGGTCAAACGCTGTCCCCCCGCTACCGTCCGGCTTTTGTTCGGGTTTATTTTTCCTCCCGGGTGAACAATTCCTGGGCAGTGTCCGGGGCTTGATCCTGTGGAGAGAAGAGTTAGTTGTTCTTAGGGCGCTTGTGATGTTGGTGATGCACGGTGGTGAGTGGTTAATGCTGCCAGATCAGTCGGATCATTGCTTTTGATTGCAGTAGTGATCCTCTGTGGATGGGATGCTCTTGGAAGTTAATTTTTGAGCAGTGTAAAAGACAGTGCTTAACTTGTAGACGAAGAAAGACTTTTCCTACTGTTTTGTTGCTGTCAAGTCTTGGTGAAAAGTAATATGGAGTCTTCCTTGCTCTCACTTAGTGAAATCATTCTTTATTGGCTCTTAGAGCAGACACTGAATAAAGTCCTCTGGACAGGGCTCATTTTCACTGCAGTTAGCCTGGGCTATACTGTGGGGTCTTTCACTCTGGCTGTTTTAGACACAGACTTTCTGGCCCCATCTTGAAGTAAAACATAATCTTGTATTGCTAATACACAGTTACAAGGTTTATTGTGCTTGCAGACCAGCATTAGAGGGAATTCTGGGATCACTGTCTGTCTAGCATAAAGCTGTTCTCATTTACTCCTGGGGTGGGAATTGGGGTGCCGCTGCATTAGCCCGTTTTTTCTTAGCATTGCAAAATTTGAATGGATCAGGTAAGACACCAGCAAGCGCTGGAGTGGACAGACTTTGTGAGTATGACTTGAGTAAGTCCACCTTGGAGTATTTGAGGCGTGCAATGGTGCCTCAGCTGCTGGAGTTGTATTTTGTGGTTATTCTGCTCTCCGCTGCTCGTATGTTGGTATGGTATTAGCATGAAGATGGTTTATTCTTGCCTTCCTGATGGCTTATGAAATAATTATGCTACCATCAGTTACACTAGTACAGATGTAACTGTATCGAGCAATCTGAAGTGGTTAAAAATTACTCTTAGC